CATCATGGTGAGGGATAATGGACAGCCACCTCTCTCAGCCACCACTAGCCTGAACCTGGTCTTTGCTGAGAACTTCCAGGAGGCTCTTCCTGAAATGAATTCCCAACCTAATAACTCAGAGGATCAGTCCAACCTCCAGTTTTATTTGGTTCTGACTTTGATTTTAGTGTCCTTTCTGTTCCTGGTGGCAGTGATTTTGGCCATTATTATGAAACTTCAGAGGTCAAGGAACCCCACTTTTCTCCAGTGCTTCATTCCTGATTCTCATTCAAAGACGGGTGCCATATTTCCTCCAAATTATGAAGATGGGACTTTGCCTTATTCTTATCAGATCTGTTTATCCACTGAGTCCAGGAGAAATGAGCTGACTTTTCTGCAACCCAATGTCCAAATAGTGGAAAATCTCCTTTGCAACAGTAAATCTGATACTTGTGTCATGCTCAATGGAGATTGTTACCTAAATTCTAAAACGGATTCTGAAGATATGGTAAGTTCACTTTTCCTTTCCTTTCCTTTCTTAGTGAGATTTGTAATTATAACAGCAGTTTAATGGCATTAGTGAAAACAGTAATGGTTTGTTAGACTGGTAATCTTTGGCATCTTTTTTTTTTTAACTGAGGCCTGTATCAAGTTGAAGTACTGTAGGAAGAAGTTTTGAAGCATTACTACTGACTCAAATGTAGGACTGAATAAATATTTGTGTATGAAGAAATGGGTTTTACCCTAACTGGATGAACAGGGAATGCTAATAGGAGATTGGCAGCAGAGTTCAACATGAAGAAGAGACAAAGAAGAGAGGATTGTGGCTCGAGAAACTATGTATTCTGAGGCACTGTGTGTATGCTGCGTGGGATGAAAATATGTCTTGAATAACTATGAATGGCAAGGAGTATATTCTGAGAGCAATTGACTGCCCAGTGCAGCTGACATGTTTTCTTCCTGGTGAGCAAGGAGAAGATATTATAAAGGTGGTGTGTTTCTAGAGAGTAAATTCAGTAATTAAGGAAACAGGACAAACTGGAAGAAATTTGTCAGATGAGCTCAAGGAGAGTCATGGGGGAGATCTCTAATCAATTTCCCTCTAAGTGAGTAGCTGTAAGGTTGATGGAGATAATTTTGCTGACATGTTTGTGTCTCTGAAAACAACAAAGCAGCATAGAATCATAGAATCATAGGGTTGGAAGGAACCTTGGAGGTCTTCTGGTTCAACCCCCTGCTCAAGGCAGGAGTCCTCATACCATCTCAGACATATGGTTGTTCAATCTTTTCTTGAAAACCTCCAGCAATGGAGCACCCACAACTCCAGGAGGCAAGCTGTTCCACTGCTTAATAGTTCTCACTGTCAGGAAATTTTTCCTTATTTCCAGGTTGGATCTCCCTCTGACAAGCTTCCACCCATGCTTATTGTCCTACCCTCAGGTGCTATGGAGAATAAATCAATGCCCTCTTCCCTGGGGCAGCCCTTCAAGTATTGGAAGACTGCTATCATGTCTCCCCTCAGTCTTCTCTTCATTAA